GGTACTTCTCTTCCTGGTGGTTAATCAGTTCCCAAGTATGTTTAAAAGCAAAAATCACATGGTAGAAGCCATATTGGGTGAGGTGCTGTAAACACTGGCAAGGGCTGTCTATCAACCCATGCAGCCCCACTCTGTCTCAACAAGATGCACACACCCTCTCAGCTGTCCCCTTTTCACATGACTAATGCCGGTGCCCTCCCATCCGTTCCTTTCAGGTCTGCTATCACCATATTTCCCCTGTTTAAAAGCAAAAATCACATGGTAGAAGCCATATTGGGTGAGGTGCTGTAAACACTGGCAAGGGCTGTCTATCAACCCATGCAGCCCCACTCTGTCTCAACAAGATGCACACACCCTCTCAGCTGTCCCCTTTTCACATGACTAATGCCGGTGCCCTCCCATCCGTTCCTTTCAGGTCTGCTATCACCATATTTCCCCAGAGGACAGATGGCAAGCATGACTTCCGAGTCTGGAATGCCCAGCTCATCCGCTATGCTGGTTATAAGCAGCCAGATGGTACCATTCTGGGAGACCCAGCCAACGTGGAGCTCACGGAGGTAAGCAGCAGACAGGAAAAAAAATCCATCCTTCCCGGTGGTCAGTGTCCCGTAGGGGAGTTCCTCATGGCTGACTTCCCCAGGAACTCAGGATGCGGACGTCTGCCTATTATACTACAGTGTACTAGTCCATCTAGGGGATTCTCTCTGATTTGCTTTGCTTTTCCTGAGACCGGTCGTGAGAAGCTCTGTGGTACCAATAGGATCCCTTAGTATTGCCACGTGAACTTGTGTTTGTGCTTGCACGTGCATGCAGCTCTGCCCTCTGCAGGGAGCAACCAGAACTTGCATTTTGTAGCCTCTGTACTGCTATGGACTACCACCCCGATATTATTAGCTCAGACAGTGGTCTAGAGCAGGAGGCTGAGGTTCTAAAGTCACTGTCACTTTAAGTTGCTGGTGGCTCATGACGCACAGTGCAGTGACCAATGTGAAGACCTAAGGGGCTGTGGATTTGAGCCAATAGCCAGTCTCGGTGCACTATCCTGAGAATCTGCTTCTCACCTACTGGTTGATTGCAGAAGGCTCTCCAGGGACCCAGCCTGAAGCTCTACCAGCTCACATATGGCTCAGACTGAGTGGGGGCATCACTTATTAAAAAACAAAGTCCAAGAGAAGTCTGTTGTACGTAACAGCCTGGCCCTTCGCAACTCCCACACCTTGCCCAGAGGCCTGAGACAGTAACACTGCAGGGCAGCCAGTGTGGCGAGAATATTCACATGAATTCTGTTTGGCTGCAGATCTGCATCCAGCAGGGATGGAAGGCACCCAAGGGGCGATTTGATGTCCTGCCACTCCTCCTCCAGGCCAACGGCAATGACCCGGAGCTCTTTGAGATCCCACCGGAGCTGGTGCTGGAAGTACCCATCAGGCATCCCAAGTAAGCTAGAGCATGTTTGAGTGCCGCTGAGGGGGAGGTTCTGCAGAACTTTGCTCCTTAGAACCATCTATGCCTTCTCACAATGCACCTTCTTCATGGCCTTGTTGGGATGCTCCATGGAGGGGCCACATTCAGACCTAGAGTCCCACCAATTTGTTCTAGTGGGGCACCCTTTCATGCTTCCTTCCACTCTGCATGGAAAGCTGGCACAGGCTTGAAAACCAGCCACCCTCTTCCCTCTCTCATGGATGGATGGCAGGGCTGGTTTCACGTCACCTCAGCTGCACCCTGAGCCTCCTGCCATTCACCTGACACCCTGCCCCTCCCCACAACCTCCTTGGTGTGCCCATCCCCATGCCCTTGTGCTGCTAGTAAAGCAGCTGCTGTTGTCAGATCCTGGGGGAGGGATCCCCACAGGGCTCTGCTCCTGTTCCCAGGAGCAGTTCTGATGGTTGGTGAAAACCATGGTAAGACAAAGCTGCCTTCAGGCGTCCCATGGAACAACTGTTAGGGGAAGTTCCCCACCCCATCAGGATCCAGCTAGCTGGCTGACCTCACCGTGTGCTCGGCAGGTTCTGAAGTGGTACGGTTTGCCAGCGGTGTCCAGCATGCTGCTAGAGATCGGAGGCCTGGAGTTTACTGCCTGCCCTTTCAGCGGCTGGTACATGGGCACTGAGATTGGCGTCCGAGATTACTGTGATAACTCTCGCTACAACATGCTAGAGGTAACCTTGCCCTCTCACAATCTTGCTGTGGGGCTTGCTGGGATGCCTTGAGGTATATGGATGTTACTGGGGAGCAAAGCGCCAAGCTGAGCCCCTCAGTGCTTTGTGGGGGGCAGCCATTGAAATTGAAGTGCTGCCCTAAATAAGCTGTGAGGACAAAAGTGAATTTCAGCCACCTGTGCCACATCAGGGCAATATGCTCAGGGGAGCCTGGAGCTGAGCATGCCCTGGTAAATTACCTGCATTCAGGGCCAACCCGAGCCATTTTGGCCTTGCCTCCGGGCGCATGATGCATGCGTGGGCCCGCCCCCGGGGTGTATGGGCAGACGCACGGCGCATGCGCTGCCCAGTCGGCCTGGCCACCGCCGATGGCGCGCAGCCTGGGGCGAGCTGCGCCTGGCCATGCAAGGCCCTGCAGCCGCGGGGGAAAGAGCTCTGTGCTGGCTGGGGCTGGCGGGGCTAACACGGCCCTCCCCCCGGGG